TTCCCTCTTCTTTATGATCTTATGCGTTGACTCATCAACAAACAGCGAAGACAGAAAACGTTCGTTTTTAACTTTCTTCGTCGTTTCATTCGTTTAACAACTTGACACAACGGACACACACATACAACTTTTGTAAGATCGGTTAATTATCCCGCCATTGAAAACAAGGGCTTTCTTTCTCGAATTCTTCGCGTATTGACGAGTCTTAAGTCGGTGCGCTTGTGACAGATTTTCGTTAGTCGGGAATTTAAGTTAAAAGTTATGAATGTAAGAGAGAAACACGATAAATTTGGCAGTTGGGAGAAATGTACTTGAATAGAACGGAGGGTGCCACCGGATAAAAAATCTATGAAATGAATTCTCATTACACGGCTCTTCCACGCACTGGTTTATGAGAAAGTGCAGAGGGTTGGGGACTTCAGTCTGTGCTTGGGCCACGACGATCGGTTAATAGATCAAGAACGGTTTTGGCAGAACGTTATTGTCTCAACGCGAACCTGATTACGGTGTTTTTTTTCTACAAGATTTTATGGAAAATCAAGCAAATATTCGTAGTCAATATCAAAAACCGGCTTGAATAAGGATAACACGGTGTCGTACCAAAGAAGAGAATTCAGATAACATGGCTGTTTTTCTGTAAGATGTCCTGCACAGAGTACCCCACATAAAAAAGATTTTCCATTTTTGTTCTTAAGATTCAATGTCACATTTATTCCAGGTTTCTTTTTCTGAAGCAGTCATTTCTTAAGAAAATAATATCAACTTTTCGTTTTTGGCATCTCATGACCTCCCTCCCCATCCTTTCTGCTCTCATAACCATACGAAAGTAAGACCTCATGTTTGCAAGCTTATTCAGCCATTGATCTCATCAAAACATGTTAAAAGCCAACTTGCTCTAAGACAGCTGCATCAGTTACTTAGGAACTCGCTGCTAGCAAACAACTTTTACACACCACTAGCTACTAGCCCAGCAGCTATTGAAATGAATAAAATTAAGTTTATTTCGTGTTGCCATTTCTCATAAAACCAAACAAGAAAAAGATTCTTCCATCTTATGAGTTTTTGTTCTTGTTATCCTATGCTAATAGTACAGTATCATCAAGACATAGACAAACAAGCGAAGAAGAAAACACAAGAATATATAAAAATGCCGAAACCAAAATATCATCGAAAATACATCTTACAGAGTGATAATGACAGAATTTTTGCTGTTATTTTTCTCAGAAGAAACCATTCATGCCAATATGGCACAAAAAGAATATGCCATGATGGTTCTCTAACACTACAAATAATATAAAACTATAACACTTCTAACCTAACACCAGAAATTCAGCTTTTAGAGACTTCACAGATGCTGCTTTAATCGATTATCCTTCTGAATCTTCATTTTCTTTCTTTCAATTTTATTGATCCCGCTTGTATGAAAGTATAATTTATTGCGTTTCATTTTTTAAAGAATGAATTTTCTATTTTGATGTGGATCTTCGTCTATCCAACGGAACAGATTGTACGAACAGCTATGTAGGACAGACAGCGAGCAGGAGGTGTAACAATAAGAGAAGAGGAACACCAGAAGGCCTTTCATGGAACAGAGATCACACAAAATTAGAAGCCCCTAGCTATCATGGTTCTTGAGTTACAGGAGGCTCGTTACTTTTGCGGAGTACTGTATGAATGATTTAGCCATAGCAAAAGTACAACGTGATAAAAATGGAAGTTTGGCATCAGAGCAACGTAAACAAGATTTATATCTTGCTTATGAGTTACGTCGACAAACATTGTCACATAGATAAATTAGCGGCATTGGTGATTTGATAAAAAAAAGAGAATGAACTGAATTAGAAATTGTATTACCATCCCTTCAAAAATACAATGCAGTCAGTTATTTTTTGAATAACTCAAAAACAATGAAACATAGAGATATGGGATTTTCAGCAATCAAAAGACGACAGTTTAAGGCTTGTCCTCTAACTTCTATGGCAGACATGTCACAGCATTAATTTTTTTTGCTCATTTTGTTTTGACTATAACTACGAAACTAAAAGTCGTAGAGAGTTCGCAGACGTTCTAAATGACAGAAAAACCTGTTTTCCACATTTTGACACATGAGCTCATCCTAGATAATCTACCCTCATAAAAACTGTCATCTGAATACTGAGACCTGCTTTGTAAGAATCAAAACCAAAACTATAGATCTCAGCATTTTGACCACAGTTTTTCTAAGATAGGTTTTCTGGAGTCTGAACACATCTCAAAGTGTAGAAACAGTCTTTTCTTTGATTTAAAACGCCTCCGAACTCTCTACGACTGTTAGTTTCGTAGTTATAGTCAAAACAAAATGAGCAAACACAATCACGCTGTGACATCTCTGCCATAGAAGTTACGTGGACAAACCGTTAAGCTATACTTTCATCAGCAAACTCGTCCTGCAAAAATATTCCGAAGAACGATTTTCTACAAGATCTTTGGAAAATCAGCTCGGATTTCTACAAACTGACATAGTAATTTATCTACTTTTTTTCGCAGATAGATAGTCCGAAGCATCTGCTACAAGATAAGATCGAAGCAAAACCAATCCAGAGTCGCGAACGGCACCGAATTTTTCGTGCTTACGACTCAATTGAAATGAATTTAACGCGTTTTGGCTGGAAATGAAATTTGAAAAGCGCATTTCGCTTTTTCAAAATTTATAAGATAGTTTCTGTGAAACGTGAAACTCGTTTCATAGACCGAAGTCTACAGGGAGGGCGAAGGGTGGGCCGGTGGTTATGGTTGAGGTTGAGCAGACCAAAACATTTCACCCAATATACGTTTTCACCAGGCTTTTGGAAATTTCTTGAAAAACAAATATTGCCACGAGATTAAGCATAGTGGACAAGCTATGTTTTCATGCATTTCTCAAAAGATCTTATAGAAACTCGATCTTCGGAATATTTTTGAAAGACGACCTCGCTAATGAAAATATAGCTCAAACTGTGTGACTTACTCATCAAGCAAGAGACGAAAATTTCGGTTTCTTCTTAATTAGACACAGTGTCAAATAATGAAATATTTCTTAATTTATATTGCGGTTTTCTCTGCTTTAGCATTTAAAATTGTGTATAGAAAACTAATATGAATATTCGCAACTACTACCGATGATTCAACACGTTATTGTGCTGCCAAAAGGATGAAAAGAATTTTAATCAAACATGCGAACATAAAGCTGAATCGTAGATAAGAAAAGGAAAAGTAAAATTTGGTGGAAGAAAAATTCGTCAACTTTCACCATTTCTTTACTAACTTTTAAAAATTGCTCAAACACATTGGTGATGGTGAGAGTGACAAGATAAGAATACAACTTTTTGTTGACTCTGTTACATCCACTCGCTAGAAAAAGGAATGTATTTCTCTTCTCTTCCGTTATATCAATAGAAAACTTCTAAGAGAACACATTCTTCTTCTTGCTTCATGTGTTCATGAAGAATTTCTCTTCATAAAAGTGTAAGTGGCACTGATTGTTGTGAATAAACATCAGTCTAAACAAGTAAAACTAGAACTTCTGGGACAAGCATATGAGCACCACAAAGAAACAAATGTTCTTTCCTGATCAGATCGAAAGATATGCAACTGTCATTCACCAGCAGCATCTGCTTTGACATTCACGAAGCTCTTTCTTCTAGCATTAATGGCGTCAAGCAATCCACAACCCACAAAGTGGACAAACACAAACATTGAACAGCAGAGTCAAAAACAAGGACAAAATCTAGAAACATTTGCTCTCATGTGGCTCGATCAGAATGTGAATGAACGCAAAGACAACTTAGAAACACAAACGCAATTGCGGAGATCGATCAATTGTTTATTGACGTTTGAAAGTGGAACTGAGTGTGAAGCACATATTAGAGAAAGCAAAGATGAAAAGATTGTTCTAATCGTTTCTGGCCGATTAGGCAGAGAGATTGTCCCGAGAGTTCACGATTTATCACAGCTAAGCGCCATTTATGTCTACTGTATGGACAAAAGAACGAATGAAAGATGGGCAAAACCTTACAAAAAGGTAAAAGATGTTGTCTTCAGAACAGTTGAAGAGAGAAGCAAACTTTCTCTTCCATTTCTTCGACTTCTCTGACACGGATTTGTGAGTCAAATGAGCAGATGTCTGATAGTGTCATTAAAGTTCTCGTATTTCTCTTCTGATATAGCTGTGTGATGGAAAGTTTTCCTTTTTCTCGGGTTCACCTTCATACACTAGTAAAAACAAAAGGTAATTGTCTTCGGACCCCGGAAAGTAGCAAGAATGTCGCTGGAGAAAAGATTGTCTCGACATGGCATGGTAGCCTTGTCTTTGAAAGATCCATACAAGTCGACAAAGAAACACTTTGAAGTTCTGAAAAACACTCTGTTCTGTCTCTACAATCTGATTGTGGATGTATGGGTTAGTCTAGGCGCGGTTAAATGAGCAATGGTTCCGCTTGTGATCTGTAGGTGACTCACTGTCGCTTCATCGTCTTATCAGAGTAAAACTCCGTGTACTCTTTAGAATGCTCCACAATTCTGAAGATCTCGTTTATTTTCTGTCGCTTTTCTTGTCTAGATCAGAGCCGTAATTGTTGAACTAAAGGCACTCGTCGAGACAATATGCAAAGATCAGGCGAAACGAGAGAAAACAGAGACTTCAATCTCAATCAGCATCTGTGATAGAACGCACACAAATCTCAAATCAGATAACAGCTCATTCATGTGGTTTCAGCTGTTTATTGAAGTTCTACTCCGAATGAAACATTCACAAACATCGAAAGATGAACTTGTTCAAATGTGCAACGAACATTATCGAGGCAATGATGCAGACCTTGAAATCATTCGTGACTTTCATCAATACATACAAGTCGTGTGATGCTCTACGATGGTACACTCGAGACTGTTTTCTCTACAAGATGCTTAACAAAGCGCTTCGAGTTCAGAACATCGACATTCTTTTCGCACTTCGATTTCTAATCACCGATATTCACAATCAGCTTATGAAAGAATCGTCCAACACAAACATCAGTCAATTATACCGAGGTCAAGTGATATCGAAAGATGAACTTGATCGCATTCGTTCAAGTATTGGCGAATTCATCTCGATAAACTCCTTTCTCTCCACAACTCGTAGTCAGAAGAAGGCACTTCGGTTTGCTCTAAGTACTCAGTGTGAAAATCTTGAACGTGTACTCTTCAAAATTAAAGTCGACAGTCGAATAAAAGTAAAACCATTTGCCGATATTTCCCGACTGAGTTATTTCCCTGGTGAGGAAGAGATCTTGCTTATGCTCGGTTCGATCTTTCGACTTGAAAGTGTTCACTATGAAGACGAACAGCAGATATGGGTGGCTGATTTAGACTTATGCGACGAAGATGACCATGATTTGAAACAAGTATTTGACCATATGAAGAAAGAGATGGGGAGTGAAACTACTCTCATTTCACTTGGAAATTTGTTGCTTGATATGGGTGAATTGGAGAAGGCGGAAAAATATTATAACCGATTGTTAAATGAGCTGACAGTGGCTGATCCTGATATTGCTGGCTGTTGCACAGGACTGGGTAATGTACACCAGAACAAAGGTGAATATGATTTAGCTTTGATGAATTATGAAAAAACATTGAAAATCGAATTAAAAGCTCTTCCACCCGATCACCCTCTACTCGCCTCAACATATTACAATATGGGTAATGTACAGGATGACAAAGGTGAATATGATTTAGCTTTGATGAATCATGAAAAAGCATTGAAAATCCAATTAAAAGCTCTTCCACCCGATCACCCTCTACTCGCCTCAACATATTACAATATGGGTAATGTACAGGATGACAAAGGTGAATATGATTTAGCTTTGATGAATTATGAAAAAGCATTGAAAATCCAATTAAAAGCTCTTCCACTCGATCACCCTGATATCGCCGGAACATATTACAATATCGGTATTGTACACCAGAACAAAGGCAAATATGATTTGGCTTTGATGAATTATGAAAAAGCATTGAAAATCCAATTAAAAGCTCTTCCACCCGATCACCCTCTACTCGCCTCAACATATTACAATATGGGTAATGTACAGGATGACAAAGGTGAATATGATTTAGCTTTGATGAATTATGAAAAAGCATTGAAAATCCAATTAAAAGCTCTTCCACTCGATCACCCTGATATCGCCGGAACATATTACAATATCGGTATTGTACACCAGAACAAAGGCAAATATGATTTGGCTTTGATGAATTATGAAAAAGCATTGAAAATCCAATTAAAAGCTCTTCCACCCGATCACCCTGATATCGCCTCTTCATACCGTAATATGGGGCTCGTGCACGAAGCAGCTCGTACTTGGCAATCAGCATTAGAATGTCATAACAGAGCAGCAGCGATAAGACGAAAATCACTTCCGACAACACATCCACAGCTGGTAACCACTGAGAGCGACATTCGCAGAGTGAAAGCCCAACTAAAGTAGACATTAGTATGGCTGCATCTTATTGTCGGCTGTCGTTGTTTGCAGGAAATAGCCACAACAAGCACTCTGATGCAAGACTGAATCGACTGATGTATGTTTCGAAAGTTTCAGTTCATTTTCAATTTTTGGCGAAAATCTTGATGGTTTTCTCAACGTGAAAACTTGAGAAAATTTAAAATACTCATATAGCACAGAGATACATATGAGTCGACTCAGTTTTTGAT